TTTTAAAAATTTCATTCCAAAGACAAAATATCTTAAATTGAAATATTCAGTTTTAGCCATAAACCCAAAGAATACTCAATATTTTCAATATTTTAATTTAAGATATTTTGTCTTTGGAATGAAATTTTTTTAAAATTTCTTTTGCTAACATTATCAGCATTGAATGTAGTTTTCAAAAATATAATCAATTATATTAAATACACTATTATTTTTCATCACCATAGGTTAACATGCAAAATTGGCCTAGTTTGTTAAGCTGCTATGTGAAAACCTGCAATTGAATTTTAATAATTCTATCGTTATATAATACACCTTTTATCCTTTTATAAATCATACATTGGGACCATCTCTATATTTCTTATAGTTTGACCTGTAATATGACCATTCCGAATTGTCCCAAATTTTGTATACCACGTGACTAATATTTATAATAAAATATGCTGCAGATGCGCAGTATATGAGGCTATATTACAGCTAAATCCATTTTACAGAATTAAATTATCTAATTTAGTTAAAGAATGGCATCAATTACCGCACGGCGGGAATCACTTGACCGCCCTATTAGCTTCATAAACATACTATTATTATTATGGTTAAACGAGATTAATATATTGTCGGGTTTAATATCCCGATGAATGACAGGAGTGTTGCAGTGAAGGTATTGCAGACATTGCAAAAGTTCCCGAAATATTTCGCACGATATAAAGTACTCGTAGATATTTATGGGTTCCGCCACTTGTCTACCGAACACTCGGGGTTTGTCTTTGAGTATTGCGCGCAGTGTTTGCGAGCAGTACTCCATCTGAATGTACAGATAGTAGTGATAGTAGTATTCAAACCACGAGTTGTAATATTTGACCACAAAATTTGGGTCCAATTTTGATAATATTGTCACTTCTTTTACGACTCGACTTTTGCTTTCATCACTAAAAGCTATGTTTTATTGAAATATTTCTTATAATTTTATTAAATAATGTAAAATAAATATTAATTATATGTACCTTTAAATTGCACTCTTTTGACAGCATATATATTATCATCAGATATTTGTCTCGCTTTGTATACTTTGCCAAAACTTGCCGAACCTATAGTATATTCTTTCACAAACCGTACTTTAAAATCATTATTCTTATAATGGATTACATCTGCCATTTTATATTTGTTTTAATAATTTATTTGTTATGAAAAATTTGCTAGTTTATAAATTTAACTGTTATAACAGTTATACAATATGTAATGAAACACACTAGTTTTTAGCACAATGATTTTTATATTAAAGCGCAACGCGAACTATCTAACAAATTATAAAATTTAAGAATAAAAACTACTTATATATTTCGTTTTGGCAGTACTGTAAAATAATATACTACTGTAGTTTTATTAATTCATTAATTGGGCTTGGTCTACAAACACTTTAATATTTCAATATTATATAACACTGATAATGAACTTATTATATAAAATATTAGTACAGGTAAAGTTGCCAATGGTTTTCACTGATTGCAAGACTCACATAAGGAAAATGACAATAAATCTTAACACAGAAATTTTATTATGGTTTTATAACTAATTAGTTTTGTAAGTTGTAGGGGTTTTTTACGATACGTCATTTATTATAATTATTAATTTTATTATTATATAAATATTTAATTCAATTTTACTTTATAACATTAATCTTACATTCATTATTCATGAAATAGATTAAAAAATACATAAGCATTTCAAGCATTTAAAGTAACATTTAAGTAAGTTTAATAACTAGTCATACAATTTTCGTTTCAAGGTAGCTTATATGTACATTTTAATTTAAAGTAAAAAATGTGCCAAAAACCTCCGCACCCCTTGTATGAAAACACAGATATAATTGCATGCACATATATGCGGCGTAATACGGTAAAACTTTTATTAGATATACACTAATCGCTGGTTGCTATTGTTTCCAAGTCATACTACGTAAACAAATTAACCACAAAATCACAATTGAATGCCAGAATATATGACAGTATCATTTAAGTGAATAATTTGTGCGTATTATTGGTTCGTTGTGTATATTATAATCGCAAACCAATCGCGATCGCTTGATCAGAACATGTCGGTGAGTCGGGTGCGAAAAACGTGTACCGAGAAGGTGAGGGCCTGGCATCTCGGTGTCGTCGCTTTTATCATCTTCATTATCGCCTGTTTGTGTTTCATCGGCTCAATAGCGGCCGGCGTTGTATTCCTGGTGCTGTCCCTTATAGTGGCCGTTGCGGCCGCTTATAAGTGGAAGCGCTTTGAGAATAGAGAGAGATTTAAACCTACATTAGGCGACACTAAACTGTCCGTAAAATTGCCCACTTAGTTTTGCCCATTTTGTGATCAAGTAAGTTATATTGTGTATATTAAATACACTAAATAAGTTCTAGATTGAATTATTATTAAACTAAACTTTGTTATTTTAGAAAAATCATTTTTGAATCACATAATTCTAAGCATTCAAGTTAGATTGGTGGCTATTAAGAGTGCAGTTTAACCTCAATCAACTATTCACAAGTTTGCTACAATATTCAATTCTAGCCAGTTTACAACAATGATTAGTAATTAAATTGACATATCCATAAATACTGTATATGTTAAATGTTTTAACAATTTGTCTTTAAATTTTCAAAAATGTGTAAATTAATTAAATAAAATAAATATTTATGTTAATAAGTTACATAACTAATAAATTATTATTTATCAATTACCTATGTTTGTATCAAAAAAATGCACATCCAAGTATATTATTTATTGATTATTATTTTTTATTATTTTAAAGTTAACATAACGAACATCTTAACTTTAAAAAATAAATTATATAACCGTTTTATTTTTAGTATTAATATATTGTTATAAAACTTTATTGTAGTTAACCTTGAATTGGAAATAAAAGTAAAACAATAACTTTTGTTATTATAATNATAACGAACATCTTAACTTTAAAAAATAAATTATATAACCGTTTTATTTTTAGTATTAATATATTGTTATAAAACTTTATTGTAGTTAACCTTGAATTGGAAATAAAAGTAAAACAATAACTTTTGTTATTATAATATATTTTCTAAAAATCTTTGCCATTAAATCTGTGTTTCCAATGGTTTTCACTGATTATTACAGTTGATATAAATTGGTTGGTATTAAAGTATTATGACCGCCATTTTTGTTACAATTTTTACAAACAGATTATAACATTAGTTTAACTTAAATAGTTGATAAATATTTTTTCATTAAACAATAATAATTGTTGTGTTCAAAATATATTTATAAAATTTGCATAAATATAATAAAATATGCTTGCTAATTGAAAATGTTTGTTTATGGTTGTGTAAATACCAATATCAATCTCATTTGTAAATAATGATAAAATTAATAATAATTTTTGCTGATGATTTTGCTGTTTGATTTACATAAGTAATACGAACATTAATAATGCAATTAAAGTTAAAATTGTGATATAATTCCTGTAAATCATAGTGAAATTATTTTATATTTAAAGTTTTTATAATAATTTAAATAATGTATTATTTATAATGTTATGTTCTAGTGGTTTAATTTGACATCATGTAAAAAATAAAATATCAATAAAGGAAACTAAGTTAGAATTTTTTACAACTTTTACATCAATGCACTTACCGCTAGAAATATTAATCTATTAACATTGATGTGAACATGTCAACTGAACGATTCAACAATTTCACCATGATCACCGAATTAGGATCGGGTGGTTTTGGGACAGTATTTAAAGTACAGCACAAATTAGATGATAAGATGTATGCGATAAAAAGAGTAGAATATGGGGGTAAAAGTCATGAAATTATATTGTATTTATTTTATATAATTTTCAATAAATATTTTCCCAGATTTTAGTGAAGAGAAAAAACAACGAATTCTGAGAGAAGTGAAAATTTTGCTAAAATTAGACTCAGATTTTGTGGTCAAATACATCACGTCATGGCCTGAGTCTAACCATCTGTACATTCAGATGGAGTTGTGTTCGCAAAGCCTTAAAACTGTTATCAAAGACAAAGCCATTGTCTTCGGTCGACAACCGGAAGACCCGATCAATGTTTACGAGTATTTCATTTGTTGTGAAATATTCACCGAAATTCTAGAATGCGTTCAATTTCTCCACTCATCGGATCCGCCGGTCATTCATCGGGACCTCAAACCCGACAATATATTAATTGAACACAACTTTATGTCCAGTCGTTTCATAAAACTGTGTGACTTTGGTTTGGCCACCGATCACGACATGCCATCCATGAGCCACACGGCAGGGGCCGGCACTTCGGCATATATGGCACCTGAAGTACATCAGTCGAGATATACTATTAAGGTTGACATCTATAGCCTAGGAGTCATTGCACAACATTTATTAGATTTATTTAACAAGTATGATTTTATGATATTTACTTTTAAAGTGTTTTTAATTAATTGATATATAATGAAATTTTTATTAATACAATGTATTTTTACATTTTTCATTTTATTCCAAAAGTTCTTCTATGAAAATATATAGTTTAGCAACATTTTCAGAAAATATGAATAAATTTTATGAAATGATTGGTCAAATGGTTCAGTATATGCCCGACAATCGGCCGACCAGTGCTCAAGTTCTCGAAGATTATAATCAGTGGTCAGTCGATAGACAGATAATTACAGCAAATGATACAGAACTGAATGAAATACTAAATTCACTGAAAGACAATTGTAACAAATTTTTCAGCAACTTTTTGATACGTAAATTAAATAATACTATTGTGTCGACTGATTTTGATAAACAAGTTGAGACAAACAAAATTGATGGACAACTTGAATCCATTATTGACCAAACATTAACTAGTCAGCATGATGCATCTATCAGCCTACTTCCAATTACAAACCCAGAAAACTCTAACCACGTTCTTGTATTGATAATAACAAATACCAAGATTG